AATTTAAAATATTACGATTCAATGATTCACAATATCCCTAATTTTGACGAACAAAACCTCAGTCCAGCAAAAGATTTTTTTTGGCAGCAGTCTAAAATTCTAACCTGCGTGCTGTGCACAATGCAAGAGGCCATGTGAGCTTATTTCTTTTTTAATTTATAGGTAGGTATAATTGAGATGTTATTATGTGTTTAGAAATTGATGTTGCAAAATTTAATTTCAAAACTGATTATCAACTATGTTCGGACTTTCGATCCTTTGAAATGTGAATTGAAGACACGCTGCCGATAGATCAATTAGATTTTTTTGAAATAGGGGCTTGTTTACAGGATGTAAGATCTGATTTGTTATTACCCCGTATAAAATACATGATATATTGGTAAATAGTTTGCATCTAATTTAAAAATAGTTTACACAGGTAACAAAATGATGTGTTTTTATTTTACATGTAAATAAATTACCGTCCTAAACTTTACGTGCAATCATTTTGCATGTAAAGTTTTAATGTGCAAACTAGCAAACGGACTCTTAAGCTTTTGATATATCCTAAACTATAACGGCATTCTAATATATCCATATATTTCTTAAAATAACTCTTAGATACATATACTAAAACACCCCATATTGGTAGCCATAATCCTGAACTACCACCTAATATAATGGCATCCATTCAAACTAAAACACTCATTTATCAAGGATGAGTGCTTTGGCCTACCCAGTGGAGGGCCTCGAAAGGAATGACAAGGCTTCCTAATTCCTATCTCGAATTAGTACTTAGATGATAAACTTGTGCCCTCTACTTTTGATCCACCTGAATAATATTAGTTCTTTCTTATACGAAGTAGGAACTAAATTTCGAAGTTGTAGAAATTATTTAGATGAAACATTACTACATCAACGAAGAAAAAGCATTATGAATGTATAAAACTAGAGCCGAAACTACACAACTTTGATCTTGAATTTTGGTAAGTAAAAAAACATTATAAAACGGCATTATTACAGGCTGAAATTTATACGTAGTATAAAATAAATAGTACATTTGTTGACATTGGGACTAAGTGTCACTGTCATTGTTCCAAAATGAAATTTGACTGAAATTTCGATACAAATTTTAGTCGTCTCATCCACCCATTTTTTACTCATCCTTTTCATTCGATTGAATTTGTTTGGTATAATATAATATGGTCATATTAGGTCTGGTCTACTTTAGTCCGATTGGATATGATATAATTTAATCAGAATCATTTACGCGTTTGATCTGATTTGAAACCGAAGCAACTCATCCTCATGTGTTTATATCATTATATAAATGAAATGCAGGGGCAATTTGGAGGCTTTATATTTATGCTTATATGGGGAGTTCTATCGAACATACAGTAACTTCATTGAGTGTATACTCAAATTATTGCTAGAGAAAAAAGTATATAATCATAAAAATCACAATCCTATTTCATTATGTTTGTTCCTTTTTTGTCTGTCTCATCAAGTTTATCTCATATCTTCTTCGCCTCTATTTAAACTTCCTTATTTGAATAGGACACATCTTAGGAATATTTTTCTCCTGAAAGGCACATTTTACTGATTATAAATTTTACTATAAAATAAACCGTTTTGAAGTTATTTAACATTGTTTTGCATTGTGGTGTCATTATTATCTAAGGGCAGTCGCGTATGGTAAATTATTAGAAATTTGTGTAGTGAATAATGAAATGAAACGTTATTTAGAGACATCCATCCATAGAGGAAAGTTAGAAGTAACGTATTTTAAGAGACAAATTTAGTAGATTATATATTAAGGAGTAATATTTATGTAGTTCGAATTCACCCTTTCTTTATTTGCACCCTATCAATTCAATACTAACCATGCGCTTCTATTTTTCTTAGTACTAACAACAGCTCTTTTTGTACTAATTTTAGGGAACACAGATATCAACTACTCATTCAGTTCTATAAAACTTGCCCAAAATTTATTCGCACGTAGAATTATAACACTATGTGATTGAAATTTGGATAGAGAAAAAAGAAATAACCTAACTACACATTTGTTACTTTTTAGACAACTAAAGATGTTCTCTTTTGGACTGTTTTTCGGTCCCAACCCAGACCAGATCAGATCAAACCAGACCAGATCAGACTTACATAGTTATAAAATACACAGAAACCATGCATTTACCTAACCATATCAGACCGGAACAGTTCAGACCAGACCAGACCACGTGATACAAAAACATCCTAAATACGAGGTAAGAAAACTTGAGAATTTTGGAAATGGAGAGAATAGTAATTCATCTGGGTAGGTGAGTAATTTCAGTCCATTACTAAACTATTTTAGCAAATTCTATCTTTGAAGTCAAATTAAGCGGCTCATAGATTCCAACCAATCAACGTTAAAGCTGTATAACTTTTTGCCCTAAAACACAATTGTGTACGAAGATAATAAAAAAAACTGTGTGCCAGGAAGCAGCTAATTAGCAAGCTAGGTGGGAACTGTTTTTCAACTCTCCAGACCCACTTTGTCTCTACTTTCCATTCGCAGCTGCCTCTATCGTACGATGAAATGAATAACCAGACTTCTCAAAAGTTACTTTAGTTTATATGTTTGTGGGAAGGCCATAACATGCGCGCGTTTTCATTGGCCAATGCCTATAATCCCTACATACAGTACATATTTTATCCTATCTCTTTTGATTAATTATGTTTAGTCAAATGACACTTCACCATACTATTTCCTAAAAATTAAAGATTGAATTATCACTCAAAATGAGTGATTATATTGCAAATCATGATGACTCTGCTAACCTAATGATAGGAGACTATACATATATGTGACGTTCAATTCAACACACACAAGCTGTAACATTCACTCGATCACGGCTAAGTTATTCATGCAGGTAAATGACACTTCACAAATAACTGGTTATTCTTTTCAATTTATGGAATAAAATACTACTACCTCCATCCCTGTCTCTTTACGGTTTACGATGTTTGACCGACGATAAAGCAAACAGATCCTTGTCCGCACTCAAATTATTTTTGAGAAAAAAATTACATATTCAGAAACTACATTTAAAGCTTTACAAAGTCGCAAAAACCTGAATCAAATTTGATAAATTTTTTATATATAAAGTAAGAAATTATGAGTAATTTGTGTTGACCAAGTAAATAGGAACTGAGACAATATAAATGGAACGGAGGGAGTAAATAGTTCCCTAACATATTAGTAATTCAAATTTTTAGAAAAGATATAAATTCCCTAAATCGGGAATAAAAATAATAATATAACCCCGCTAAATATGAGCACTGTATTTGAATTGAATAGCAGTAGAGTATTGTCATTCAAATCACACTATTATATTGTGACCTTGTAAGATATCAATATTAAAACGACAGTAACTATTACTGAGTATAATATACTATTCCTACTTAGCAAAATCCTCTTTTTACTCTTATTTAGGGCCAGTTCTTTTTTCCTTTCTACATTTTTCCCCATTCAATTCGATCTAAATAACTCATTTCTCCATTTATCTTCTTATTTTTCATTTTTCCTTTTGAACTTCGTTCCCATAGTTATTGTAATTTTTTTAAAATATATTAAGTGGTGCATAATTTTTTATTTTTTTCGAAAAAGTTCCAAACAATATTTTAGGTATATGTTGGGATGGAGAGACTGGAGAGTACATCCTTTATATGTTAATAGTTCTTTTATTTACTTTCTCCATTCTATTTATAGTATTCGATCAATTAACATTTACTGAAGATAAAATTAAATAATTTATGCTTATATCCAAATCAGCGTTGATAACTAAAATTTGCATATTTCGAATCTAGATTATATTAAAATTTATATTTAGTCGTAAAATCCAAATTCTCGAATACTAACAAAGTTTGATACAACTCAAACTTATAAAATAAACAAAATTGTGTTGACAATTTTTTTTATATCATTTTGCTATAAAAGTTTTTTTCCCTTTCAAAGTTTTAGAAGTTAATTAAATTCCTAAATATTACTACGTACTGATCAACTCCAGTGTAGAGTAGTTTAAGAGCCCATTTGGTAGCATGAAAATCTTCTGGTTTGGCTGATTCTACTGAAATTTATGAAAATCTGGCTGAAGTGGCTGATTCTGCTGATTTAAGAGAAAAAAATTAAAATATATTTTATTTTATTAATAAAATAAAGAAAAAATTATATTTAAAAATAGCTTAAAATGATCATCTACAATAACTTCAGCCAATACAGTCAGAAAAGTAACTCCAACCTTACTTTTTCTGCGTATTACACAATTTAGCGTGCGAAAGCAAAAATTACGTGTTTAAGGAAAAAGTTGACTGATAAGTTTGATAAGCCGAAAAACATGGTTACCAAACGTCATCTAATTCATACATTACACTACATTTTCACTTCCAAATTAAAGGTGTATGCAATCCAATCATTCTAATTGAGCGTAAACCTCCAAGTGGCTGACACTTTTGGATGAGTTGGTCGATGGAAAGACCTCTAAATTCCCATGGATGAAATTGAACTTTTTATTTCACTGTTTCTGAAAATGAAAGTATCCTAGACAGTTACAAACTTACAACATAATGTGAACACGATTTTATTAATATTTTAAGAAAAGCCACATCTATTAATATATACTCCGTAGATCTCTGGATCTATCAGAAAACCCTTTTTAGAGAATTAATGGAACATGTACTGACGTGCACTTTGTCATGAGTGCACTCAAAATAAATTCAATACTAACACTTATACGTAGTATAGCGTAGTAGAGTTCGTATCCACAGGGAAAGGAATAATTCTCTTTTTATAAAACTAGTAAATAAAAAGGGGGTTTTGGGATTGAATGATTTAACTTAATTAAACATAAAGATGAACAACTTAATTTAAAGATAAAAAGGACTTGGCATTGCTACTTTCCACTTGTTGATATATTTTAGTCGATCATTGTTATATCTATAACTAATCCCCTCTCGAATACTCAATCGAGGAGTATATCCAATTCATCGAGGGTAGTTATTAACAACGACCGTTCATTAATAACCCTTACTATTAGTCATGTATAGAACACCGCCATATACCGACTTAATAGTAGCATTTAATCTCTTAACTCCTTGATGAAATCAATTGAGATTGATAACCTCAACACAACGGTTTCGGTTTAACCAACAAAATTAATCCCTCTTAAGTTTATTAACCACGACCGTGCATTAATAAATCGAAGTTACTTACTTGTGAAACCATCAACGATTAACCATCGGTTTGTTGATCGTTTCTAGTAGTAATTAATGTCGAGATGTTAACTAATTGTCATCTTAGCAACACTCCCCAACATTAATATAGAGATAGATTAAGAGAATAATTAATATTCAAGGGAAGAAGTTAAGAAAATAACTCACAACTTTAATAATCAACAAGCTTCAAGAGCAACACCAAGAAATGGAAGTTTAGCTCCTCATTTGGAGACTAAACATGCTATAAAATATAAAAGAAATACTATTCTAAACTGAGCTTAAGAGTATGGAAGAAGGGATGATTAAAAGTGAAGGAAAATGGGGCTATTTATAGGTGTTTTTCAACACCTTTGGCCGGGTACCCGACCGGGTAAAGTGCCCACCCGACCGGGTGCATGTCAAAATCAAATATCTTCCACGTTCTGGCGATCTTCGGCACGTTCTGGTGTTCCGGGTCAAGTCGGACCCGACCGGGTGAAATACCTCACCCGACCGGGTGATGTAATTTCCTGAGCAGTTTCGCATTTAAATTTCTCACCCGACCGGGTGCAATACCTCACCCGACCGGGTGATTGTCCTGGGCAGCCAAGAATTATTTTTCTTCACATTCAAAGTCTTCCTTTCCAACACCATAAATCCTAACTCTACTTTACAACTTACAAATGAGAACTAAAATACAATTACAACTAAAATCACACAAATGTTTATAAACTAAATAAAACGATAAACAATACACACAAATCAAACATAAAAACACACACTTATGCACTACTAATTAGTGCATATCAAATACCCCCACACTTGAACCTTTACTCGTCTCGAGTAAACCAAATCCAGCCCAAGAAGTCCCTAAAATGGCAAGAGTATCAACACCAACATCCACGTGTGTTTTTAGAACAACACGAAAAAATATCCCCAAAAATATAAGAGTAAAAGGGGGGTCTTCAACTCCATATTTCTTATCAACCTCAGTTTTTTTTTATTACCCTTAGAATCCTGCAGAAATAAAAGAAAGTACTTTCTCTCATTCTCTCATTTTGCCTAGGTGCCCTTTCGGGTTTTCATCCCAGCTTCCCACATTTTTTTTGTTTTAATCCTCACAACTCACTCTTTTTTTTTTTTGCTTAAGTTGCCTTTTCAGGTTTTCAACTTAACAAGCTTTATTTTCTTTTTTTTTTTTTTTTTTTTTTTGAAAATAACTCAAGCATACAGAGTATGAATGTGAGTTTTCCATGAAATTCTCCCCCCAAGCTAATCAAAGCACTGTCCCTAGTGCTTGTGTCCGAGATGTCCAAGAGAATGAATCTCTTTGCCTTTTTTGGTGTCATTTCTTTTTGGTTGAGGAAATTTCGGGTTTTGTTGTTTGTGGAGTAAGGGGATTTGGATTTTTAGGATTTTTTTTTTTTTTGGGGGGGGGGGGGGTGTAGTAGTGAAGAGGGTGATGAAGAGATGAGGGAGGTGGGTTTATTTGATGGATTTGGTGTAGAATTGGAGAAGATTCAAATGTATGGAGTTTGAAAATGGTGTTTTGGCGGAGTTTGGTTCGTGTTTGCGGAAGAAGAAGTGAGGAAGAAGAGGATGCCATCTCGGTTTTTGTGAAAAAAAAAATCCCAACGCCCGGCCGGGTGGGGTAATGTACCCGGTCGGGCCTTAACTTCCGCTTATCCAGAATGTTTTTGTCAAAAATGCCCGGCCGGGTGTATTAAAGGTACCCGGTCGGGTAATTTACTCCAGGGGCCGGGTTTTGCCAAAAAAAATTATTTTCCCGGGCGATTTTTTTGTTCCAGGTGCCTTTTTACGAACACGCCCGGCCGGGTGAAATCAGATACCCGCCCGGGTCCACTCCCCAGTTTTTTTTTTTGAAAGGTTTCTCACACACACAAAAAAAATTGAAAATAATCAAAATACAAACTTGGGTTGCCTCCCAAGAAGCGCCTTATTTAACGTCGTGGCACGACGATTATTTATTTTTATTTTTTAATTTTTTTATGTGGGATCATGGACATCCCTAATTTCATTCTTTTTCTTTGGCCTTTTCCAGTAAGGCCGAAGTTTCTTCTTTGTTATCGCCTCGACCACAGGTGGTTCCAACTCGCTTTGAGGCGACTCTTCTTTCAAAATAGATTTTTTTTGTTCAATTCTTTTTTCAAAAATTGATGTTTTCTTAGTATCTTTTTCAATAAAAATATTTCGTGCTTGTGGTTCAAAAACATTTAGAGAACAAAGAGATTGGTCTTTAAATTGTTTTTTCGTAGAATCAAAGATGTTGAATTCTACCTTTTGGTCATCAAACTCCAATGTTAATGAACCATTAGACACATCTATTTTTGTTTGGGCGGTTTTTAAGAAAGGTCTCCCCAAAAGGATGGGTGTAGTTTGGTTATCGGCTTCCATTTCAAGAATATAGAAATCAACAGGGAAGACCAAATTTTTAACTTGTACTAGCACGTCCTCTACTACACCCTTTGGGTAGGTGCAAGACCTATCTGCCAATTGGATTACTACCCCGGTTTCATGCATACGGCCAAGTTTTAGGGATTTGTATAATGAATATGGAATAACATTGATTGAAGCCCCTATATCCAATAAGGCCCTAGGAAATAAAGTGTCCCCTATTTTGCATGGGATAGTGAACATGCCTGGGTCATTGCATTTTTCCGGGAGTTTCCTCTGAAAAATTGCTGAGACACGTTCACTAACATTTACCTCTTGTTTTGCCTTCAATTTATCTTTCCTTTTCATTGTGCATAGTTCTTTTAAAAACTTTGCATAACGGGGAACACTTTTGATTAGTTTAAAGAGTGGAATATTTACCTCACAATTGGCGAAGGTCTCATAGATGTCTCGATCATTCTCCAACTTCCTTGTGTCCTTCAGCGCCTCAGGGAATGGAGGGAGTGACTCATATGATGAAAGTGGAGGAAATTTTGTCTTCGTTGGTTCCCCCTCGTTGTGGTCAAACTCGTCATTGTTAACTTTTTCTTCAGCCTCCTTTGTTTGCAACTCCTTACCGCTCCTCGTCATGATTGCATTGACATGTTGTCTCGGGTTTTGCTCCGTTTGAGAAGGGAGTTTTCCCGATTCTTTGGCCTCTAGCCTACTCACAGCAATCGAAATTTGGCTAACTTGAGTTTCCAAATTTTGAATGCTTGACTTTGTTTCTTGTTGAAATTGCAAAACATTTTGTTGCAAAGTGCCCATGTTCGTAGCAAGAGCTCGAATCATGTCCTCCGTGGACATGTTAGAGTTGGAGCTTTGACCTTGATGATTTGGGAAGGATTGTTGAAAGGACTGATTTTGTTGTGGTTGAGGGTTCCCATATCTTAAATTAGGGTGATCTCTCCACCCGGGGTAGTAAGTATTAGAGTGGGGATCGTACCTCTTTTGTTGTTGGGTTTGGAAACCCAAAGCGTTGACTTGCTCTTCTTGGAGAGTTGGGCAAGAATTTGTTGGATGCCCTTGCTGTGTGCATATGCCGCAGACCTTGACCTCTTGGTTTCTAGGATTTAAAAGGAAATCCTTAACCAAAGAAGTCAAGCCGGCCATCTGACTTTCTAAAGATGAAGATGATTCCGCCGCGGCAACTTTACGGGTTGAGGACCGCCCGTTGTAATGCCTAGAGTTCTCGGCCAACTCTGAGATCAAGCTTGTTGCTTGTGAGGGAGTTTTGTTGACAATGTCGCCCCCACAAGCGGCATTCACCATTCTTCTATCATCATCAACAAGACCATCATAAAAGTAGAGTATGAGGTCTTGCTCGGTGTAGCCATGATAAGGGCAGCTAGCACATAACTTTTTGAACCGTTCCCAATATTCATATAAGGTCTCATCATCTTTTTGATCAATGTTGCTTATTTGTTTTTTCAAAGATGATGAGATGGAGGCGGGGTAGTACCTTTCTAGGAAGCATTTCTTCATTGCCGCCCATGTATCTATGCTTCCCGAGGGAAGATAGAATAGCCAATCCTTAGCCGTGTCCTTCAGTGAGAATGGAAAGGCCCTCAGCTTGATTTGTTCTTCCGTAACATTATTTGGTTTCATACTAGTGCAAACTATATGAAACTCCGCAAGATGTTTGTTTGCATCCTCACCCCTTAGGCCATGAAATGAAGGGAGTAGATGAATAAGGCCCGATTTGAGCTCAAATGTAGCACCTTCATCAAGAGTGGGGAAGGTGATACATAGAGGTTTTTGATTTAAGTTAGGAGCCGTGAGCTCCCTCAATGTTCTTGTTTCAAGAGCCATAGTTGTTGGCTCTTCGGGCTCGCTAGAATGAGAACTAGCACTTGATGATTCTCCCGAGTCGGTACCTGAGAACTTATTTTTCAATCGCTCGAGAGTTTGCTCTATTTCTGGGTTTGATTGGTAGGTGATCTCGTTTAGAGAACGATATTTAACCATACACTATAAAGCTCAGAAGAAATAGAAATCTTGATATGTAAATAATATTTTTTTTTGTTTTTTCTTGAAATAAAATAAAAAGGAAAATTAATTGCCTTTCCCCGGCAACGGCGCCAAATTTGACGTGCACTTTGTCATGAGTGCACTCAAAATAAATTCAATACTAACACTTATACGTAGTATAGCGTAGTAGAGTTCGTATCCACAGGGAAAGGAATAATTCTCTTTTTATAAAACTAGTAAATAAAAAGGGGGGTTTTGGGATTGAATGATTTAACTTAATTAAACATAAAGATGAACAACTTAATTTAAAGATAAAAAGGACTTGGCATTGCTACTTTCCACTTGTTGATATATTTTAGTCGATCATTGTTATATCTATAACTAATCCCCTCTCGAATACTCAATCGAGGAGTATATCCAATTCATCGAGGGTAGTTATTAACAACGACCGTTCATTAATAACCCTTACTATTAGTCATGTATAGAACACCGCCATATACCGACTTAATAGTAGCATTTAATCTCTTAACTCCTTGATGAAATCAATTGAGATTGATAACCTCAACACAACGGTTTCGGTTTAACCAACAAAATTAATCCCTCTTAAGTTTATTAACCACGACCGTGCATTAATAAATCGAAGTTACTTACTTGTGAAACCATCAACGATTAACCATCGGTTTGTTGATCGTTTCTAGTAGTAATTAATGTCGAGATGTTAACTAATTGTCATCTTAGCAACACTCCCCAACATTAATATAGAGATAGATTAAGAGAATAATTAATATTCAAGGGAAGAAGTTAAGAAAATAACTCACAACTTTAATAATCAACAAGCTTCAAGAGCAACACCAAGAAATGGAAGTTTAGCTCCTCATTTGGAGACTAAACATGCTATAAAATATAAAAGAAATACTATTCTAAACTGAGCTTAAGAGTATGGAAGAAGGGATGATTAAAAGTGAAGGAAAATGGGGCTATTTATAGGTGTTTTTCAACACCTTTGGCCGGGTACCCGACCGGGTAAAGTGCCCACCCGACCGGGTGCATGTCAAAATCAAATATCTTCCACGTTCTGGCGATCTTCGGCACGTTCTGGTGTTCCGGGTCAAGTCGGACCCGACCGGGTGAAATACCTCACCCGACCGGGTGATGTAATTTCCTGAGCAGTTTCGCATTTAAATTTCTCACCCGACCGGGTGCAATACCTCACCCGACCGGGTGATTGTCCTGGGCAGCCAAGAATTATTTTTCTTCACATTCAAAGTCTTCCTTTCCAACACCATAAATCCTAACTCTACTTTACAACTTACAAATGAGAACTAAAATACAATTACAACTAAAATCACACAAATGTTTATAAACTAAATAAAACGATAAACAATACACACAAATCAAACATAAAAACACACACTTATGCACTACTAATTAGTGCATATCATGTACTCCTTCCGGATCTTTTTAAACTTCACAGTTTGACTTCACATCGATTAAGGAAATAAATTTGACTTTACTGTAGAGTACACTGTTGAGACAATGTTTGGCACTGTTTGGCACTGTTTGGCACTGTTTAGCACTGTTTAACACTGTTTTGATGTAGATTTATTTGCCAAATAAGGAAATAAGGAAATATGATGTTTATCTTGAATCGTCCCAAAAAGGAAAGAGTGAAGTTTAAAAAGAACCGGAGGGAGTATGAATGAGTTATCTAAGTTAACTCATAGGTGATTATGCATTTCACCGTTAGTCAAAATTTAACCAAGACTGATTACATAGATCCAAACAGTTCAATTCCGGTCGGTTTTCCACTAATAGCATGACATTAGTTGAAATGATCCGTGTATTTCCCCAATGTAGTTAGTGATTAATGATATGACATAATCCTAATTTCTCAAGTACAGAAACCAAGTAAACCCGAATTGTCAATTTTTCTTAGCCTCTTAGCCATACAATTTATAATGTCCTTATATTTTTATTGTCTAACGATATTGAGAAATAGCTTAGGGGGTATGTGCATGCACCACATTCAATGTTTAACATTTCATTCGAGACACAAAAGTCTTATTAGGATTTTGCCCATTACCGAATACTAATTAGCAGAATATAAAGGGTATTACGTGATGGTTTTTTCTTTTACTAGTTCCTAATCCAATATTTAGTGTCAAGTCATCCGGTTGGTCAAGTACAAATATATAAAAGCACATAGTATATGGTATAGATTTTTTCAATTGTGAAGATGCAAACTCACGGGCTAATTTCAAATCTTAATATTTGTTTTTTTGGAAGAAGGGGCTTAGATTAAAATCAAAACATTCAGAAAGAGGCTAAAATAACAAAAGCACCACAAGTAACATTCGTCTTTGGGCCAGACTCTGAGTTAATCATCTTTGACAAAGCAATATATCTCAATGATCCTAAAATGGACATAGTTGAGCCAATAATGGTTACCGTAGAACTCTCATCCCCCAATCCTAATGCAAAAGTCTTACAGAACCAAACAAAGTAAAAACCAAAAACAACCGTCTCAACGTGAAAATTAAACTGCAAAACAGCAATCAAATAAAAATCAAAATAAAACTTCTTCAGCAGCAACATCACGCGTAGGTCAAATCTTAATATGAAAGAGCTTTATTTATATTCTTGTCTTCATTTTTATATAGTTTAACTAAATGTCAAATCTTAATGCGAAAAACACATATATGGTGACATTATTTTATTTTACGAAATTACTATAAACTGATTTCACATGGATTAATTACAGCCTCAAACTTGGTCATATTTGGCCACACTTAAACAAACCAAAGAAGAACAAACCACATTAAGTCAAACCAGAGCATATCTCAAAATTTCAGTCCAGGTGAAAATATCTTAGAAAGGTTGAAATGTTGAATCAATACATACAATACAGTGTATACAAGATATTCTGAAAACTAAGGGGTGTATTGTATTATAAATTAGTGGCAAAATTTTAAAAGTTCATGAATTTAAAAGTTTAGGTGTATTCAATGTGGACTTTTAAAAGTCTACAAAAGTTTAGGTGAATTCAATGCAGACCTTTAAAAGTCTATAAAAGTCTACCGGGCCGGGCCAGTTCTGTGCCGGGCCAGTTCATTTTCATTTTTTTTGGGTTTTCTTATATATTCCAACCCCCACCCCCAAATCCCTCCAAAACACCCATCCCTGCCCATCTAATATAGGCCCAAACCCAAACAAACAAACAAAAGGCCCGGACCGGCTGGCCGGTCCCCAAATATGCAGTCCCGGAACCGCCCCAATTAACCCCCGGGTCGGGCCTAGGCCCGGTACCGGTACCTTTCCACCGGCCAGACCGGTCAAACCGGCCCCGGGCCAAGCCTAATCCCCCCTCCCCCAACTCTCCTCTTCTTTAGTCAAGCCTCCCCTTCCCCTTCGATCCTTCTTCTTCTTCTTCAGCTTGCCGGCCCCACCCCACCCCCTTGATTCATTAATCCCATATATATCGATTCGATTCTAGAATTTTTTTAGAAGAACCAATATAAGAATCAATATTATTACATCAATGCAATTCTGGTACGTCATTAGTTAACCATTAAGAAAATAAATATTTTAACTATTACTTTCTTTCATCGTTAAATAGCTTGCACATAAAAATATAATTTCAAGTTAACAAATATATAACCATAAATACATATACAAGTTTTTACAAGATAGAAATTAAAAGAAAACAATCTAAGTAGAAAAGCTCGACTGCATCTATGTTTGTACCATATGTAGCAATGAGTGTAACGCTTGTGTAACGATTAATTTTCTTAATCATTAATAAAATGGCTAAAACTCTTGAGCATTCTTGAAACTTTGAGGTTTTTTAATAAAAATAAATTTTAATTCTTATGCTTCATTTATTTTTGTAGAACTTTGTATTGCTATATGAATTACATTTGTTTCATTCATTTATTTATTTATTTATTTATTTATTTATTTATTTATTTATTTATTTATTTATTTATTTATTTATTTATTTATTTATTTATTTATTTATTTATTTATTTATTTATTTATTTATTTATTTATTTATTTATTTATTTATTTATTTATTTATTTATTTATTTATTTATTTATTTATTTATTTATTTATTTATTTATTTATTTATTTATTTATTTATTTATTTATTTATTTATTTATTTATTTATTTATTTATTTATTTATTTGTTTATTTATTTATTTATTTATTTATTTATTTATTTATTTATTTGTTTATTTATTTGTTTATTTATTATTTATTTATTTATTTATTTATTTATTTATTTATTTATTTATTTATTTATTTATTTATTTATTTATTTATTTATTTATTTATTTATTTATTTATTTATTTATTTATTTATTTATTTATTTATTTATTTATTTATTTATTTATTTATTTATTTATTTATTTATTTATTTATTTATTTATTTATTTATTTATTTATTTATTTATTTATTTATTTATTTATTTATTTATTTATTTATTTATTTATTTATTTATTTATTTATTTATTTATTTATTTATTTATTTATTTATTTATTTATTTATTTATTTATTTATTTATTTATTTATTTATTTATTTATTTATTTATTTATTTATTTATTTATTTATTTATTTATTTATTTATTTATTTATTTATTTATTTATTTATTTATTTATTTATTTATTTATTTATTTATTTATTTATTTATTTATTTATTTATTTATTTATTTACTTGTTTATTTGTTTATTTATTTGTTTATTTATTTGTTTATTTATTTATTTATTTATTTATTTATTTATTTATTTATTTATTTATTTATTTATTTATTTATTTATTTATTTATTTATTTATTTATTTATTTATTTATTTATTTATTTATTTATTTATTTATTTATTTATTTATTTATTTATTTATTTATTTATTTATTTATTTATTTATTTATTTATTTATTTATTTATTTATTTATTTATTTATTTATTTATTTATTTATTTATTTATTTATTTATTTATTTATTTATTTATTTATTTATTTATTTATTTATTTATTTATTTATTTATTTATTTTTTATTATTATTTTTATTTATTTCTTATTGTACTTCTTATTATATAGAGGAAATCACTCAAGGTAGGACTAAAACATAGCAATATTAGTAAGATTATATGTTTGATTTTTCTTAAATAGGAATAAATATTACATATTCATTCCTAATTTAATTAACTAATTAATATAATTAATTGTTCCTAGTTCCCTTTCATAACCAAAGCCATTTTGTTGGTGGCGGGTCAGTCCAATGACGACAGCGGGGAACTCCGGTGATGGAGGCGGGTAGGTCAAAGGCATATCGGTAGCGACAATCTAGGTGAAAATTTTGACGACCAGCCCATGGCAGTCCGCATTTA